GTGGCACGCATCCCCAGTAAAACTGTAAAGCTAATTAGGGGGTTCTGCTGCCACAGCCAGTTAAAAAATTTATGAAGTGCAACGAGTTTCTTTTTTTTTTTGCATACAGATATGGAAATTCGTGCCAAAGGAAGAGGGGAGAAATTATTGCGTGTTGTACGCGGAAAAAAGTGCGAAAAACTCAGGCAACTAACAAAGCGAAATGGAAATATTTGAAATTTATTTAGATGGCATAGAGCGAGAGTGGATTATAATGAAATTCAAATAGCTTACAGCGTTTATTTCGATTTTGAAAAGTGTGCAAATAATAATGAGTTTTGTTTTAGCAAATTGAAAATTACAGAAACTCATATACAGTGAGGCACACACACAAACGACTCAAGTAAATTGCAATAATTGTACTAATTGTTATTGCAATTATTGCTGGCAATTACCATGACTTATGTGGGGCACAATGTTTGTGTATATTACGAGTGAAGAGACAGCCAGCTGAGTTTAAAACAGTTGAATGCTCGGATAGCTTAGATTAATGTATTTAAGGCAAGTTCGAGAAAATAAACTTTAAAATCAATGTAATTTAATAAATATTTTCGAAACTGCCTGCTTGAAATAATATTGATAGTTTTCATCTTACAAAATTAAACATAGATTAGACATAGCAATTTTAAAAAAATGTCTAACTTTCATTATTTTGATTTAATTGATAATCAATTTGTAGATTTTCCAACTCAATATATTAATCTCAATAAATTTGTATGGCTGCCAGGACACCTGCGTTTCCCTTTCATCCTCGACAATTGGGCATTATTTGATTTATATACTTGTGCACTTCCGTGTACCCCATTTCCCAGTTGCAGCATTGACCGACTGACTGCCCCAGACAATCAAATAAAATCATTGGCTCAATATCCGCTCCGGCAGAAAAAATGGGAACCAAAAACATAAAAACTGGGAATCATCTTTGAGGAAGGCTGGCGGCAATTCCCTTCCTGGGTTTTTATTTTGTCCGAAATATAATTAAAATTCGTTTAATTTATGGAACGCACAGCAAGTGCCGGGAGCACACTATTGGGAAAAATCCTTTGCAAAAAATAATACAAAATTAGAAGAAAACTCCCCCAAGAAAGGCGACTTGTTTACATTCCCACGTCCCAGAACGCACCTTGCTGCATATTCAAAGAGGAGAAATAATAAATAATAATGAGTGCCCATCAATAGGATAATGCGAAATGAGTTTCGGATCCTTTCGGTCCCGCACTCCTTAGACCAATCTCCGTTCAAGTGGAAGGCAGTGAAAGTTGTCCTTGCATCCTGGCTACCTGGTGTTGCAATTTTCCATGCACTTGCAGGTGAGATTGCCTCATCCGATGGGTCCCACAAAATGTTCCCAGACTTCTTAGGGTTGTTTTCCAGCTCAATCTTATGCAAAATCACCTTAAGGAAAATTTGCATGGGAAAGTGTTTGTGCGGGTTCCTAAATGGAACATCTTAAGGCTATTGTATGGGGGATTTATTTTTGAGCAGGAAAGTGAAATTTCACGCCGACAGGTTTATTGAATCTCTACAAGTAACTGAATGAATGTTCATGTTTCATATGTGCTATTAAAATATGTATGGGATATTTTTATACCCTTGCAGAGGGTATTATAATTTTGGACAAAAGTGTGCAACGCAGTGAAGGAGGCATCTCCGACCCTATAAAGTATATATATTCTTGATCAGGATCACCTCCTGAGTTGATATAGCCATGTCCGTCTGTCCGTCTGTCCGTCTGTCCGTCTGTCTGTCCGTCTGTCCGTCTGTCTGTTTCTACGCAAACTAGTCTCTCAGTTTTAAAGCTATCGAATTGAAACTTTGCACACACCCCTCTTTCCTTTGCACGCAGTATATAAGTCGGAACGGCCGGGATCGTCCGACTATATCCTATAGCTGCCATATAACTGATTGATCGGAAATGCCATAACTCTGCTGTTTGTTAAGTTAGGAAGTTGGGACTCTCTATGGGTATTATATTTGGCCAATCAATCCGACGTACCAAATTTCATAAGGATCGGCCGACTATATCCTATAGCTGCCATATAACTGAACGATTCGAAATGCCATAACTTTGGTGTTTTTAAAGTTAGGAAGTTTGGATTTTTTATGAGTATTAAGAATGCATCATAGGAATAATTTTGGAGAATATTATTATAGAGAATTCTGCAAGGGTATATCAACTTCGGCTCCGCCCGAAGTTAGCTTTCCTTTCTTGTTAATTTAATTGTTTTAGTAACAAATAAATACAAATTTCGACATTTAACATTCAACAAAAATTGTACTAATTGTTTTTTATTTCCCCACAGTTTTGTTATTTAAATTATTATTAAATTATGACTATTATTGCCAACGATTTGAATTAAAATATTTATTCGCTCGCTCAGTGCCGATCACAGCCACTCCCTCACCCAGCTAACCCATAATTATTCACTTATCACATATCTCAGCTAGGCATCTAAATTAATAACTTTTTGCTCTGAAAAAGAAGAATTGCAGGGAAATGGAAACGTAAATAATATTTTCTTGCTCATGTTGCAGGGCTCATTAATTTCGCTTGTTAACATTTTTAGCTAACCGTTTTTCGTCGGCGTTTGCCACATAGCCAGACGAAAACCATTTTCCAAGTCGAAAAACATCTGTTAAGGCATTTGCATGGCTTTCACTTTTGTGTGTGCCAATGGAAATGGAAATGGAAAATGTGGAAATTTGTCGCAAATTACTTTCACTCTGGTATCGTGTTACAAGGAAGTCAGCGGCGACAGATCGAATTTGAATTGTGAACTGCAGAAATCGAAATCCTTTCGCGGGACATGGGACACCCCCAACAAAAGGGGAAAATGTGAAAATGTTTGCATGTCAAATTTAATTTCCAAACAAATAGAGGGAGAGCAGCTGCGACCCGCAGTGGCCACAAGCCTTTGGCACAAAAGTGAAAGGATGCCGGGGCAGGATATTCGATCGATACCGATATGCGTGTGCCGAGTATCCTTTAATGATGATAAATGCGATGCGATGCCCTTGGAAGCTGCAAGTTCCGCCACATTTAGCGACGGCGACAAAACATTCTCTGTTTTCAAAAATTCAGCGACTCACTCGAAACAATTTTAAGGCAGAACCCTCTAACCCTTGCAGGATCCGGGGATTGGGTTACACAACAGGGACAATAACAAACAAGGCGCGCATGCGCAGCACGCTTGGGTTAAGGACTCGGGCGAAAGGCGCATCCTTTTCCCAGCACGCGCTGCTTTCGATTTTTATTTTTCGTGATGATCACAATGATATCTCCTCTGATACATAGCCTCCAACCCCCATTCACTTTTTTATTTCAAACAATTTTTTATTGGCCCTCGGCAGTTTCTAAACTTTGTTTTTCGCTTATCATTCATGTTCATGCAAAATAGGGTTGAAAACTCATGTACATTCATCTTTTTACTTTTTTGATTTTAGAGCCATGCCCACTTTTGCTGTAGCGCCCTTTCCACCCCTTTACTGCGTCATGAGCAGCTGCCATTACAATTCCCTTATATTTTGCGCGCTTAAAATTTGGTAAAAAATCAGCAAAAAACGGAAAGTAATTGCGTGAATCTCAGGGTGAGAAAAAAATTAAAATCGAATCCGCTTAAGTGACATTTAACCTCTTGAAATTATTTCTACCATTTTTGCACCATTTCGTAACGTATTTTTTGATACCAAAATAAAAAGGATTTTATTGCCACCAGCATTAAATCGACCATTTTCTTGGGAAATGTTGATTTTAAATTGTAAACAACAAAAATCCATTAAGAAAATGCGAAAATATTGCGGGTATTAATCGTGTAGCGTGAGAAAGGGTAGAATTAAGGGATTATTTTTGGAAAGTAGTTAAAGTTTAAGCAATATATCCGAACCTTTAAGCCATTCTTAAATCTATCGTATACGCAAATAAATGAATGTTAAAATATGTGAAACCGAAACTTTAATATCTTCACAAAGTTTTTTTTAAATGAAATACAATTTCGATCATAAAATGCAAAAATTTCTATAAAAACGAAAAATGAATAATTTATTATTTAATTTCAAACATATCAACCTTAGCCTATAATTTCCACTGACAGCAATTGAAAAATCCTCTATAATTATAAACTTGCAACACATTTTCACTTCATTTGCAGTGCTGCCGAGTCAAATTTAAATGCAATAGATATAAAAATTAAATTAAATATATGTATTTACAGTGAGTTTACGCAACTTAAAACCATTTTTTGCGGCCCGCTGATGTTTGCTTTTATAATGCGCGACTTGGGCAAAATAACTGCAATTACAAAACGCAAAAAACGCAGAAGAGCGATGGGGGAAAGAGAGGCAAGAGCGGTTGCGGGCGTCTCGAGCGGTTGCGCATGCAAAGTGTGGAAGCGAAAGAGACGGAGCGAGAGGGGCGCAGGTGCCTGGCACGAAATTTATGCAAACAAGCAGCGAAGTGTGGAAAGGCGTGTAAGAAGCGGGGGTGTCAAACGAGTGGACGAGGGGCGGTGGGACGGTGGGGCGGAGGGACGAACGCACTGCAAATTAAAAGCGCTAATTGCGCTCAGTGTATGCAAAAAAAGCCGCGTTGCGTGTCAGAAGCGCATTAAACAGAGCGCACCGTTATTTAAATGAGCGCCAAGCTCCGAAGATTTGCTGTCAGTGTATTATATGCTTGGCTCAAATACATGCATTGGGCGGGATCGAAAAAAGGAAAAGAAGAAATGCATATCATATGACAAAACAAAGAGCGTAAAACAGCCTTAAACATGAATTTAACATTTTTAATGTTCGAAATTCAAAATCTTAATAAATAGAAATAATATTCTATTCTTTGGCACACAATCAGGGGTTTCCCTAAAATTTATATTCGAATATAAAATGGGGTTCCTTTACATTTTCACAATTTCAGGCATATTTTTATTTTTATTTATTTTTTTTTTGTACCAACCAAAACAATCAAGTAGGCGATAGCTACTTTTTATTTTCTTTGATAAAATGATGTAAGTGGGTTAAAAACTTCAAATCATTTGAAAGCAACAAAATTGAGTTTTCTGTACATATTTATACAAAACTTTTGTTGCGGGTTGAGTAATGGCATTCTTATGTAGCAATGTAACTATCAGTATATAAATTGTTTATGTAAAAATTACAATTCTGGGTTATTGGTTTTTGTTGTTCCATGCTGAGACTGGTCCATACTGCGGATTGAATACTGCCTAAATATAATTAATTGACGGAGATCTACGAGTCCAGTTCGGCAGCCAGGAGGAACTCGATTCTGGATAGGTCCTTGCGCGCACTTCTTTGGACTCCTTCTTATAGTTCGATTCCGACCTGAATTTGCCCCAACTTGCAGAACCACAGCTACCAACTCGCTTGTAATTGTGGCGTGTAGAAGAACGGGATTTGAATTGATCACGCTTGAAAGGACCACTCTTAATAGGACCACTCTTGAAAGGACCAGTCCTGAAAGGACGGGGCTTGAAAGGACTACAGTCGGCATTGGATGCGGTCGTAGCCCGATATATTGTCATGGGGCGTCCATCCAATCGCACTCCTTGGAACTGTCGGATGGCCTTCATGGCGTGATTGCGATACTTGAACACCACTTCGGCGGTCCCCAATGAGCGACCGAAGGAATTATAGTGCACATTCGCCTTTTGCAACGCCCCAATGTCACTGAACAGTTCTATAATGTCCATGTCGGAAACGCTAAAATCCAAATTGCAAACCATGAGACGAGTGGGCACATACTCTCCACTGACCACTTTGCCCCTTGTGTACTTGGACTTCTGAATGCGTCCAGTTTCTCCGCGAGATTTAAGAATCCCCTTGCCTCCACTTCCTGGCGCTGGATTCCGGATCGATCCTTTACCTCCTCCGTGTCCGCCAGGGCGACAAACTCGTCCATAATCTCCACGAGCTTCTTCTTTCTCAATCCGATTTAACTTGATGATATCGTCAAGGCTCATTTCAATTTTGTTCATCTTGGTGCAATCAGCTGGACTTGTAGTTGTTTGGGATTATAAAAACGATGGCTCTGTGCTGGCTACCAAAAATCAAAATGAAAACTGATTTTTACTTAAGGAATCTTGGGAAACTCTTAAAAAGGCTTTAGACAGACATTACAGTCGCCTTCTTAGATCTGGATAAAAATCTAACAAACAGAAATACTCAATTCCATGAAGTTTTCAAAATAAGCTGATTAAGTTTAAATACTTAAAGCTTTAAAACGCAACATTTGGCCTAAAATTTCTGAATTTCCTGATGGAGTATATACAAATTTTACCCTTGTATCCCATTGCGATGTTTCAAATATCTACACTACATACAAAAAGTCGCAAAAGAAGAAGCAATAAATTCACGTTTCGCACACACAAAAGAGCAAAAGTCGCAACAATAATCACTTGGTTCATTGTGCTGCCGTTTTGTTTCGCTTATTTTTGGTGCGTAGCCAAGTGATCACAATGGGCTGGTGATCATCATTCCCCGATTCTCCAGATTCGCTATTGTCTAGCACCGGGTTCTTCCTCGATTCTTGGCCAGTGTTACAGTTACACTTTGTGTGCCGAAATACGCAGCGGGTGTGGTGCAGTTGCCATGGGACAAAAGCCAAATTGCACTTGGTTATGTGAGGTCGACAACCATTGTCCTTTGCGCAATGTGCAGTTCCCACGATGTTCCACTGCTCCTGTATTGCGGTACAGAATCCTTCTGGACCCCAGCAACACCTCCTTTGATTCCGCTTACACCTGGTTTTCGGGGGAGGAAGAGAGATGGACGGACATCGATCTCGGGCAGGTCGCTCCTCTGATAGCTCCTTAATTAAAGAAAACCTAGCTGACATAAATTTATGACCGCAGGAGGATCCTTTTCTCGGTGCTGCCACTTCCTCGTAATTGTGCAATTGAAATGCCCTGTCAAACGGTAAAAAATCTAATAATTTCAGCGTCTTTGTTGTCTTCTGTTTAATGCAGCAATTCGTTTGTAGTTGCAGTTATCCTTATTATATCCCTTGCGGCCTTCCCTCAGAAGTTTACTTCTTCTAAGATATTCAGGTTGCGCAACAGGCAGAGATTTGTGTGCCGAAGCGAGAAATTGAAATCCTGAAATATCGCAGATCCTAAATACTTTGCGATAAAAAACTAGACGAAAGGAATTCTTGGAAAAAGAAAGCGGGCTAACAAAGGTGACATTGTTGGTTACTTAGGGTTTATCTTTGCGGTATGTCTAGTTTAAGAAGATTGCAAATTTGTAGATATAAAGATTTGTACCTTAATGGTTATTCATAAGTCTGATGATCGTGTCCACTGAACAGAATTTAAAAGATCAAACACTAAAAAGATTTGTGCATTTAAAATTTTTTTTGTTTCAAATCAAATTAAAATCTATAACACTCAATATTTTTCATATTTAAAAATCTGAAGAATAAAACTCTGCTAAATATTACTTCTTAAGATCACCTTCCCTCATTTAAAATATCACACATTCCTGCAGATTTAGGCTTTCCCCTTTTCATTTACTACTCCCTCCAAAAACTTTCACACTTCAAACCCATCCATGTGACTCATTTTTTAGTGGCATTCCGGAACACAGAATTTACCCAGCAACAGGAACAGGACTCAATGAACACATGATGGCGATGTCCTGCCGTTATTTCAAGCATCAGTTACCCAGAGACATTTCAACGCCTTGCCATGAAAATATTTTTCATTTTTCCCCGTTCATTTTTGGGCCACATGCCGAGGGCAGGCTCTTCAGCCAATGAAAAGTGCCCGGTTGGTTGCTTTTTTAAGAGTCCCCCCTCCGGCTCACCCCCCGCCCATTCTCCACTTCTGAGGCGGGGAAAATATGACCTTATCAGCATATTTCCAGGAGTGTGCGTATTGGGCCGTCAACCCCTGGGGGAAAATATTAAAATGAAGGCACGACTCTGCCCGCCCGTTTTTTATGTAAATCAACCCCTTTTTTATGGCCCACCAGGGGGAAGCTTATTCAAATGGGACGGGGGGTGAATCATAAAAAAGGGTTGCTGTGATTCCATAACGAGAGGCTTATGTAAATGCCGAAGTCAACCCTTTAGGAGATAGCGATTTGTGCTTGTGATTGGTTATCTGGCTGCGATTTGAATATATAAGCCTACAAAATGGTGTTTGTAGTGATTTGGTGCTGAGCTGAATGGGAATTGTTAAGAAATTGTATTTGATGTAATACAATATTCAGGTCAACACTTACCATTTTTGTTGGTACACTTATAACTGCAATATCAATGAATACAAATAAAATTAAATTTTAAAGCTTAAAATATTCATATTTCCTGTCCTAGAATATAAAAGATTACAAAAATTTTATTTAATTTTAAATGATAAAGTTAATATTTTGTGGTAAAAATACGTTAACTTTTGATAAATTTATAATTTATAGATTTATAACTTAAGACTTTTTGATTAACTAAGTTGGGCCTTCTTACTTACATAACTAGCTTAGCAAAGTTAAATCCTTAAACATCTATTTTCCTCATTGATAATATAACCAGTTTCAACTGTCCTCTTTTGCAGTTGGCAACTTTAAATTCGAGCCAGGCCAACAACATGTCGGGGCTGCGAATGAAGCCGTCTTAACGAGCCACGAGGATAACAAAGATGGAACTTTGACTGCTGTTGACACAAATATGCGCGATGTCAGCGCAAATCACAGCAGCTCCTTCGTCTCGTCCTCCCCCGCCTCCTCGACCCTGGTGTCCTGCCCCACCCCCTCCCCCCTGTCGGAAAAGGACGAGGACGAGGAGACACGGGACAAGAAGCTAACGCTCGAATTGAAGTTGCAATCGTGTGATGAATATGTTGAGCAGCCAAAGGATAAAGGAGTCGAACGGCTGCATCCAGCTCAGATTGCCAACAACAATGCTTCGTCGCCTCTGCAGTTGAAAGTGGAGGAGCAGGAGGAGGAGCACGAGGGGGAGGGGGAGGAAAAGGACATGGGACTGACCGGAGCAGCAGTTGCTCTCTATGGCCACTTGAACAATGCCAGCGAGGATGTGCGAGATTTAGAGCAGTGCCTGAAATTGCAGGAGCCAAGTGGTGAGTAGAGAAAGAATTGATACGATGGAAATTAAAATTAAAGTTAAAATTAAAGTTAAAAAGACTTTCAGAAAGCGAGGAGAGTCAAATTAATATATATATATAGAGTAAAATAAAAAAAAATACATGGGTAGTTAAGCTTAATAAACACACTAATAAATTTAATAGATGATTCCACAAATATTCCCCTCTTTGCAATATATTCTGTATTTTAAATTTATGTTTATTGGTTTATTGAGATGTCATATTTTATAAAGTACTGAAATGGTCGTTATTTCATACATTTTATTTGATAAATGTTATCTGATACGTTTTCCAAAAGGTCAATAGTTCGTTTCCAAAACTAAAGATCTTAAGCCCCGCATTTATAGTACTTATCTTTGAATATTTTTCATTCCTCCTATTCCTACCTTCCAATTACCCTAAGCAAATACTTAATTTACCGACTGTCCTCTGTCCAAATGACAGCTCAAGGCATGCAAAAAGATTTCCGTTTTTTACCCTAAAACTCGTGGGAAACTTCCGCAAAATAAGTCTCAAAAAAATGCAGGAAGAGAGTACCTCAATTTATGTTTTTTGAGAAAAAAGGAGCGAAATAAATCAAAAACCGTTAGCAACCACAATCGGAGATCTAGGTATACTCAAAATAGTAAGAAAAAGAAAGAACGCAATTAAGGAAACTCGCTATAAAACTGCCAAAAAATAAAATGCAGAGAAAGTTCCCTAACTACCCCTAAACAAACACAAGGAAACTCAAATTTTCATGCTAAAAATTGCATAAAAAAGCGGAAAAAACTGCTGTTGGGGGTAGGTAAACGCCTCGGATATGCATATCTCAGGACTCGGCACTCACTACCTGAGGGTCCTGCCAATGTGAGTCCTGTCAAATGCCAGCAAAGTACCGTAGCGTGTTCTTTGCCATTCAATTGTTTAGCCTGGCTCAATCGTTTGTTTTTTAAGGAATATTCCATGGTAGGCAGACAACGCAATTGATTTCTGTTCTTTTCTATCCAAAAAACAGACCGAGATTTTCTGTAAGAACATAAATAAGAATCAAAGAATGTCGTTGAATGTCATCCTCGACATCGATGATTCGGTGCTTCATCATGTTACCCAAAACAATGGCAAAGTCTGAATTGAAGTTGCCATCGGAGATATGTAAAAAACCATAGGGGAATGCGATGCCAAGACTAATGAATAATTTGGCCAAGGACGGCTGCTGCAGCTTTTCCTTTTCCCTCCTCAATTTCAGCAGAGCTACCCTCTTTGGTCCATCCCCAAGTTATTTGAGTTCAAATTTCGTATAATTTCAAGCAAAAATGTGAGCGGATTTTAGAAGATGCTTAGCTGCTGATTAGAATGAGGGACAAATTTAATTAACGCACACACTCTGGAAGAATTGAGGGTGAGTTTTCTGATGCACTCTATAGTTCCTAAAAGGGTGCAAACATATAATCTTGATGGGCGGATGACTTTTAAAAATATGTGCAGAAATTATTGTAAAAATTCATTTTATTTCATCGAAAGTGATGTAAGGATAAAATATGGGATCCTGAAATGTTACATAATTATAAGTGACTATGTTTGTGATAAAAACCGTTTTACTCAAGAATTGTAAATTCTTATGTTTAAATTAATTAAAATATATTTAACGAATGCAGTTTCTCATCTTCATCATGTGTGTTCCGCACTTAAACTAGTCTCATAAAATCTCTTAGTCCAACAAATATTACCTCTCTTTTTACCCCAAATTCAGCTTCCTTTTCCTATTAATCAATGCACTAAAATCTAAAAATCAGAAAACCCACAAGAACAAGCCCCAAAAAGGGAGATTCACTAAAATACAAACACATGCCAACATGTTTGCTGGTCCAAAACACTTTACGACTTCATTAGACATTTCACTTTTCATTATTTTCTCAAAGAATTTACCAAGTGCCCTCCAAATGGGCACGGAAAATTCCCTTTCCATTTTCTTTTTAATATTTTCCGGCTGCCCCAATAAAAATGTTGTTTGCCAGGTTCAACTCTTCTGGACTTTTTGACTTTTTTATGATCTTTGCCTACATTGACTTAAGTAATTCTCGGCAACGAATTTTCTTTTACGATGGTCCGCAAGGACGCCTCGCAGTGTGAGGTGAGTGCGAAAGGGCAAGGGAGTGCCGCGAAAGAGAGGGGGATAGCGGGCGAGCCGACAAATAGTTTTGATATTTTTTATGGACACGCACAGTAGGCCACATAGACGCAGTTTGAGTTCACGCAAATAAAAAAGTCAAACGGTCAGCAAGTCAATACCAGCGAAATTATTTGAATGACATCGACTTTTTGATACCTTGCACTGGCTTATTGAAATAGTAATAAAGAATTAAATACAGATCTTAAGAAAAATTGGATGTAAGCTCCTTATCAATAAAACAGGATCGACAAATCGAAATTAAATCTAAAAAAAAATATTTTTGAATAATATTTAGTGTATATTATTCACCAAATTTTGTAGTTAATTTGAATAATATAAAATCTTGCTTTTGGAATATACAAGACTTCACAATTCGCTGCCCGCCTAAAATTCAACATACAGCCTGGAGGACTTCCCAAAAATCCCTTTTTTAACAGCTCTTTGCGAACGTGAGAGAGCGGATGACCAGTAGTCGAATGCCTCTTGGGCTAATTAACATGTAGACACAGGATGATGCTCAAAAATCGACTTTCTGACTGACCGACTGACTCGAATGACTTGGTAACCCAGTACGAAACGTATCGAATGTTTTATGATTTACGTGGAAATCGAGCCAGTTCACAGAGCCGAAGCGCGTCGTAAAAAAAAAGATGGCTAGAAGCGCGAAATCCTTTGGACTGGAGGAAGACTAAACAGAACCGAACAGAACCCTAGGTGTCTATCATTGATGGAAGCGTTAAACGCTTGTCAGGACCCAGTCACTGATTCCTCAGGTCTGTCCTCCCTCTCCAACTCACAAGAAGCGATTCTTACCTGTTTGTAATTTTTAACTTTTATGACTTTGTAACATTTTTTTATGATTTTTTTCCATAACAAAGAAATGTACGTAAAAAAATGTATGTGTACATTGTGCAGTATTCAGGTAGTTGGGCTAGTTTTTTATATGGGAACGATTTTTTTACTCTCGCCTTGAAAATTTGACTTTTTCATTATAATTCGTTTGTCTTGCAGTTCTTGGGAATATAAAAATATTTATTTTTCAATATGCATAAAATAGAGATTCATGGAAGAAGAACTCTGTGTAGAATTTGGTAGGTCACAGGATTGTTTAAATGGCGTTGAGTAGGCTAATTTTTACGTTACATTTTTAGACACATTTGTTTTAACATTTAAATATCTATCATTTAATATTATTTATTTTTTCAAATTTCAGGTCAAGTTAATAAAAATATTTAATTGTGACCATTTCTTAACTTTTATTTAAAATGTAACTAGACATTTTTTTGAAAAAGGTGAAAATGTCTTCTAAATCTGATTAAATTATTTATATGAGTATAATATGGGTAATTTCTAAAAAATCGAAAATATATTTAATTTTTCAACATGCTTTTGAATTTTTAGGAATACCATTGCAGCTAAAATTTAAATAACGAAACAAATGTTAATAAATATACTTTAAAATAGTGCGTTGAAGTTTAAGGGGGTCTTCTAGTCTAGAGGCTCGAATATCGACCTTTTTTTAACAATTAATAAAAAAAAAACAATAGATATTTTTAGTATCCGTTTTTTTATCATTTGTTTATTAAACTTAAAGGAGTACATAAAATAAATTTGCAAAAAAAAAAAAATTAGTTTTCATTGAGTTATTCCTTCTTAAAGAAGAGGGGAAAAAAAGAAGCCGTGTCCGCGTCGCCATGATATCTATGCTTGTAGTTATCTGAAAAATAAAACAATGATAGATTCTTAATGAGTACGAATGTCGCTATGGCATGAACCACCAAAAAGAAAATATCTTTTTTTTTCATGAAATGGCGGCTAGTCAAAGAAAAAAGTCGATTTTTTCACTAATTTTTCCACCTTGTCAAATTTTTAAAAATATTATAAATTTAAAATTTTTATTTTTTTTTGGTTCATGCGATAGCGATATATTTAAAGAATATTCATGCCAAATTTCAAGTAAATCGACTGATTAGAACTTGAGTTAGAGTGGCGACCGCATCAAAAAAAGTAGTTTCGAGAAAAACGCGTTTAAAGTTCCAGTCGTTCCCTCAACTGGTCTAGTTGCCACGTCACTAAAACGGCTATAGCTTTCAAAATAATTTGAGTTTTGAAAAATCCTTTTAGGGAGATATTTTTGATCATCCAAACTATCGAATTATGAAAAAAAAATTTTTTCGATTTTCTCAAATTTCTAGACTAGAAGACCCCCTTAATGCCATATTATGGGCTTTAAATATGTTATAATTTTCTTACATTGTTTCAGTTATTTCTATTCGGCCAATATTTGTCACCATAAATGTCTTTTCTTATCGAAGTTAAAATAAAAAGAGAACCAAAACAAATCATAAAAAAAGAGGAAATCTGCGAGGACCGAGAAAGAAAAGCAAAACGTCAGAAAATACTGTCAAGTGGGTGGCAAGCTCAAAAAGGAGATGCCAACTTTTTGAGGGGAAGCGGGATGGTGGGTTATTTTTTTTTTTTTTGAGTTAGGGACTCCCCGCACATGTGTGCATACATGAATGGCAAATAAAATTGCGAAAGCGGAGACGAAACGGGAGCCAGAACAAAGAGCGGAATCAGAAGACGACAATGCTGCAAATATAAAATGAGGTTTTAGTGAGCGGAGGGAGGGGGTTCTGCTGCAGTCGACGTCGACGCAGCTTTAAAATATTTTTACATAGACCAGCCACACATACAGAGCATTTTTGACTCGCCAATCATAAAATAATATGCATACACACACAGCCCCAAAAGAGCGCGGCCGTATAAAAAATCCATTGCCATTTGAAAGCCGAATTTAAATTTTAAGCCACACCCCAAACAA